TTTTCCTTGTCGAAACCAATCTGCTAAGAGTGTTGCTAAGAAACTATGGGATGGATTCTTCTGCATCTATGGCTTTCCTCAGCGTCTCTGTTCGGACCAGGGTGCCAGTTTTGAGAGTGAGCTGATAGCAGAGCTTCTGGATCTTGCCGGTGTAGATGCTATGATCCCTTCCTCCTAGATCAAAACAAAAGTGGCCACAGTTAGTGCAAACAATGCCATTTGTGTATAACTGCACCGCCCATGAAACAGCTGGGTTTGCCCCTTTTTACCTGATGTTCGGGAGGGTGCCAAGATTACCTGTTGACCTTATGTTTCAAAGTGTCCTTCGTGATGAGTCCATCTGTGATTACAACGAATATGTTCAATCCCTTGTCAGAAATCTTCAGTCTGCTATGCTGCTGGCTCAAAATAACTCTACTGCAGAACAAAAACATCAGTCAGATCAGTACAATAAGAGAGTCAAGGGTTTACCTTTGTCAGTTGGTGATCAAGTTCTCGTTGCTAACAAAGGCTGTTGAGGTAAACGGAAGCTTGCAGATAAATGGGAGCCCACCATGTACTCCATTGTTTCTTCCGACCCATCTTGGTACATTTATAATTTTCGTGACACATCTGGTCGAGAGAAAGTAGTACATCGGAATCTTTTGTTGCCAGTTAACTTTCTCCCTTTGCCCATGACTGAGTATGATTTTGCTGTCAGTGGAAATATTGGTAATGGTACATCTTCTACACCTTCTCAGTCTGTATGTGATCTGGCTGAATCCACAATGCCAGTCACTGATGAATTGTCACATGCAGAGTCTCTGTCATTTCTCATGTAGCTGTATGTGATGAAGATCCTGTTGGTGCTTGGGTCTCATCCCATTCTACTCAAATTGTTTCTGAGGCACGTGATGATTTATCTGTTGTTGACTTTGACACTGTAGCCAGTGCCTCTTCACCTACTGTTCCTGTTTCTAACAATTCACATGATCCTGTGGTTCACTGTGACTCCAGCAATCACTATACTACCAGGTTTGGTAGGGTAATTAGACCTGTACGTAGACTAATTGAGTCAATGGTTCAAATTGAGACCTTACTTGGTATGGAGTCTGGATCTCCTGTTATTCATGTTGTAGCGTCTGCTTAAAATCATGGATGGTCTTTGGGGTTTATGGCTTAAGAGACCCCTTTTAGCCTTTGACATTTGCATATAAATTACAGTCCTGGCCACAGATCATGCATTTATATAGGTGCTAAATTGCCAAATAATTCTCCCCACTATCAAGGAGATGCTAAGCAGTCTACCCCATCATCTCCCCAACTGACTTCAAACAGTTTCCAAAGGCAAGTGATCTCTGGTTTAATATATTGTAAATGTTTCTTTCTTGGTATCAATATTATCTGCTCTTTATTCCTCAAACAATGATGTACAGTATATGATTGTGAAATGCATCATACGATTTGTACTATATTTTGGGTTAAAACTGCACCAATTCCAGATCGACCCATAAACATGCAAATGGACCATAAAGGGAGACAAAGGAAACTTCTCTCGCTCAAAAATTCATGCCTGGTATTGGCTATTCCACCTAAAGTTGGGTGTGAATAGAAACCCTCAAAAGTCATTAGCTCGAAATGATCTTTGCTCAGAAAACCCTCTTCTTTTGAGACGACACTAAGACTTCTCAAGACTCTCCTCTGGAGTTTGATTTTCCGGCAGTTTTTATCTTCAAGTAACTTCGATCCATTTTGGACTTTCCTATCTTCAGAAGAAGACAAAGAAAACTTCCAGCTCACTTCTAAGAGAACTCAATAACCATTGTCTACCGCATCAGGAATCTTGTTCAGCAATCGACGCCAATGCAAGTAACCATTTACAACTATTTAGATGCAGGTTTAAGTGTGAGCCCCTTTTTAAAGGTGATTTTTGATTCTTTGATGATTCTCATTAGGTTGTGGTTAATTGATTTGAAATACTGCCATTCTTTTACTTTTCTCTCTCTCTTCCTTACTTTCCTTCATTCTGTATATATATGTTGTGCTTAGTTTAGTTATATGTTAGATATAGTTTCATTTATTAAATCACTTATATTCACAACTGATTGTCTCTGTGCGTTGCTCATGATTCGAAGTCACTGAATGTTTGATCCCTTGCTACATGCTAAATTACTGCTAGCACTGCATAAATAAGGAAAGCTACTTTCCTTGGCCAGGAAAATAATCTTTCCTTGAATTGATAAATGATTATATTGTCTGCTTGGTGGACGGACAGATCAAATAATTGTAATATTGATTATGCTATATTTATTATTAATCATAACCAGTTATAATTAGTCATAAATATGTCCCTTTTGAGCTGATTTACTACAATGTTTAGGTCTGTGTATTGTATTGCACTGTCTTTAATGATACTAAGTGTTATTTCATGTATTCTCTCATGTTCTGTTTAAGCGAAAGTTCTGAGTTATTCAAAGTGTAATGGGCACTTTGTATATGCCTACAACATGTACAACCACGTAATTCTTGTGACCTGAGTACAGAGTTTTCCCATGTTCTCATAATTTTGTGTAATTCTAGGGGGGTGAATGTAACAGGTATAGAAAGTATTATGTTCATATATGTAGAATTACACAAAAATGTTCAAATGTGTACCTGATATGCCTGTCTGTGTGTGTGTGCACCTTCCCCTTTAAATTTCTGACTGCAATGTTGATCATAATTTCCTGTCTTTGCACCTCCTCTTCCCTTTCTGCATGGTTTCTAATGAGCTCTGATTAATCCAATTACAGCTTTTTCCTTTAAATTACTTTTGTACTTAAATCTGTCGTCTAAATCATATATGAGACATTATTTTTCATGTATATTTGATTATTTTAAATTTTTTTGATCATGTTTGGTCACTTTTCTGTCTAATGTGAACTGGAAGCACATGCTAATTACATTGCACTTTACATTCGTCTTACAGAAACGAAAAAAGGGTGAATTCACACCATATATACATACTCTTATGTATATAAATGATGTGGCAAAGATGTGGCACAAAGATGTGGCAAGATGGTGCCGCGGATGGCAGCCATGGTTCGTCGCTACTTGGTACTTGTACTTTTTTTGTTTGTTTGTCCTGTCTTAAGCAATTTTTTCCCGATCAGCTTTACTAGGAACGAACTCCTGGACATCAGAAATAGCACACCAAATAACTTTCTGGCGACATTTGAGCATTCAGATGTTTTACTGGACATTTTAGTCGGAGGAGCTGCGTTCCTATACAAGCGCTCCAGGTGACGCAAGAGAGGGAAACGCGCCGGCATGCTCGTGAAATTCCGACGGCGCGGTTTTAGGACTCCGCTGCCAAGCATTCATCTGGCAAATCTCCGCTCCCTAGCAAATAAATCATACGAACTACGACTCCTCACCCTCACAAAAAAGGACTTTTTAAACTCCGCTGCGCTCTGCTTCACGGAAACTTGGCTGAACGGAGCCATCCCGGACAGCGCGTTACATCTAACGGGCTTCCAGCTGTTCAGAGCGGACCGCGTCACCGAGTCATCGGGGAAAACGAGAGGCGGTGGATTATGTTTTTATATCAATGAAGGCTGTTGTACAGACGTGACAGTTTTAAAGAAGATGTGCTGCCCAAATGGATCCTTGCTGGACCCCCTGCAGTTTGCTTACCGAGCAAACAGGTCTGTGGATGATGCAGTCAATATGGGATTGCTCTACATCCTCCAACATCTGGACAAACCAGGGACTTATGCAAAGATCTTGTTTGTGGACTTCAGCTCCGCTTTCAACACCATCATCCCGGACACCCTTCAGAATAAACTGACCCAGCTCTCTGTGCCCACCTTCATCTGTCAATTGATCACCAGCTTTCTGACAGACGGGCAGCAGCTAGTGAGGCTGGGAAAACTCATATCCAACACCTGCACCATCAGCACTGGAGCTCCTCAGGGCTGCGTTCTCTCCCCACTGCTCTTCTCCCTTTACACAAATGACTGCACCTCTAAAGACCCCTCTGTTCAGCCAGCAAATCAGATTTAAGAAGACTGCAACGGACTGTTAGGACAGCAGAAAGAATCATTGGTGTGCACCTGCCCAGTCTTCAGGACTTGTACAACTCCAGAGTGAAGAAACAGGCAGGAAACATCATCAAAGACCCCTCTCACCCCGAACACAACCCGTTTGCACTTCTCCCCTCAGGCAGACGCTACAGATCTATGTGCACTAGAACATCTAGGCATAAAAACATTTTTTCCCCCATGCCATCATAGTTGAGGTATACCTATGATGAAAATTACAGGCCTCTCTCATCTTTTTAAGTGGGAGAACTTGAACAATTGGTGGCTGACTAAAAACTTTTTTCCCCCACTGTAAATCTACTGTTCCAGATTCATATACACTATTTATTGTTAAGTTTTAATATTTAAAAGTTTTTTTTTGTTTTTTTTCTGTTCTCATGTCAGATGTGTATGTATGCATGTATGTATGTACCAGGAGCACCTTAAATCCCCCACTGTAAATCTACTGTTCCGGATTCATATACACTATTTATTGTTAAGTTTTAATATTTAAAAGTTTTTTTTTTGTTATTAATGTTGTTAAATTAATTTAATTGCTGAAATTTGAGAAATGAGAAACGAAAAAGGGTGAATTCACACGGTATATACATACTCTTATGTCTTATCAGATTAAAGAAGAGTTGAACCGTCATCTGATGTCCGTCTGATGAATGCATAAAAAAACACAACGCTACTTGTGTAACACCAGTTACACATATGTTTTTCAAACCTACAAAAGTAGTAAATCTACAATAGCCAACTTCCTGTTGGGCGGAGCACTGAAAATGGGTGTACTACAGCCCACCCCCTCCCCACCATGAGAACTTCTGTCCGGCTCTGATGGCCGCAGATTATAATATGTGTGCAAGGTTTCAATCATTTTTGAGCCCCAAAAATGCCCTGGATAGTTTTAAAACTTTTGAACATGTAAAATGTATATAAAAAAAACAAGAGGCTCACGCAGGCCACAGTGTTTCCCTTCAAATCCAGCATTGCAGGTGCAGGAGTAATCTTGTAACAGGTCCACACACTTCCCATGAACACATGGATTCGAGTCGCACTGGTTTCCATCTAAGGGTGCAGAAGAACTAATGAGTACCAGCAGTTATGGTGCCTTGAAGAACTCCAAGACAGACATAACTAACCTTTATATGCCATCCAGAATTCCAACTGCAAGATGAAAAGATCAGTTAGTGGATCATAGTTTAGGGGAAAAAAATATTAATACACTAAAAAGTTGAGATGACCAACCGTGGCTTCCCTCGTATTAAAGATTTCCCTTGCTTCTTCAAAATTGCACAGTTCCTCCCTACACTCCCGCTCCAACGATGAAGGCTTTATTTCCTCCATAAAAGTGTTGGCTCTTCTTGAACGCAGGAGCATGTGTGCTTTTGGGCTG